GGATCCTAAAATCCAAATGCTCAGGTCCCTTATATAATCAACAGAATCCTACTATATACTTTAAATTACCTCTAGATTGATTACTTAAAATACATAATACAATGTAAGTAGTTACTAGGTCATCAGAAAAGTCATGACATATTTTTCTGTGCAAAAATGCATCATGACTTTCCTGACAGCCCAATATTACACTGCACTGCTTAGGGAATAGTGGTAGGGGGAAAAAATGCACCTAATTCAACACAGGTGCAACCAATTTTCTTTGACTGTTTCCAACTTGTGGTGGGTTGTATCTGTGGATGTAGAACCCACAGTGACTGTCGTTTGCTTCCAATTCTTCAATAATATAAACAGCAATGTAGTAATGACAATAGTAAATGCAATTTTATACACTTTCTAAATTTACAGGGTCAGCAGGCAGCATATAGGTTAAGGCTCTGGACTCCCACATGACCAACCATGGTTCAAGTCTTGGACCTGGTGGCTTGAAACTCACTCTAGGTGTGTGTACATGTGTGCCCAAGATCCCAAGGTAACAGAGGAGAAAGGGTTGCAGCTAGTCATCCCCCTGGGGGGTGATTTCTTGTTTGTCTCTCCTTTGCAGATGTAGAATTACTGGATACAGAACTATGCATAGTTTTAGTGATTCTCCACAGAATTCTGGTAACAATTTATACTTCATATAGTAAAAAAAGAGTTCTAGTTTCTTCCCCATAAACTCATCAATATGAGATATATTTTTGAGATTTTTGCTATGAGGCATGTGCCCTTGCCAAAGATGAGAATAGAAAGCAAGGAATCATCTTCCAGGGGGGATGATCATGCTGCAGTTCCTTTTCCCCCCACTCTCCTCTTGGGACTTTGTTCATGCATGCACATGCACCTGGTGTGAGTTTCAAGCCACTAAGTCCAGTACTCGAACTGCAGTGAGCCATGTGGGAGTCCAGCACCTTAACCACTACACCACCTGCTGACCCCTCAACATGAGATATTAATATTATATTCTATGACTACCAGAGTAGCATCTCATATTTGATTAAAAGTGAGTCTAGCTTTTTCATACATTTGTAAAGTTTTTTGTTTTCTTTTGCTATAGAGTACTTGTGCTAGTCAGATAGAGAAACAAAAAGAGGAAAAGTGAGAAAGTACCTCCCCACCCCAAATCCCGGTGGGGATAGTCATGCCACAATCCCTTCTCTTCCATTTTCCTCTTGGGATTTTGGGCATTCATTCACTAGTGCCTGGCTTATTTGGGTCTGGGACTCAAACTGCAAAGTTGGCCAAGTGGGATCCAGCTGCTTTAAACACCATGCCCCCTGGATGACCTGATTTTTTATACATTTAAAAGCCATTTCTTTCTTTTTTTTAATGAGCCATTTGTGCCTTTGTCCATCCTTTTGGGCTTTTTCTTCCTATATGCAAAAACACCTCATATTAAAATGATCAAGATTTTGTTATATGTAATGCAGCCTTTTCAAGACTGCTGGCCAACATTTTACTCTGTATATTTTCATTATAACAAAGTGTCTACTTTTTTTTAGTCAGATACTTTCCTTTATGGGTTTGTATTATGCTTAAAACTTCCTTCTGTATCTCAAGGTAATGTTTTATGACATTTTAATCATTTCCATTCCAACATTTAAATAATAAACTTGGTGTTTATTTTGGCAAAAAGTATAATGTGGGAATCTATTGTTTTCTAGCATCATTTATAGAAGCATCCCTTTCTTTCTTCAAATATAGTTAAGAAAAACATGCTAGGTGCATGCATACACATGCCCCAAAATCCAGGGTGGAGAAATGGTAGAGGAGGGACTGTGGTATCATACTCTGTTAAGGGTGCTTTCTCTCTCTCTCTCTTTCTCCCTGGTGGACAAGTGTGCATACTCGCTGGCAAATTAAAGAAAATTTGTAACAATGCTAGAAAAGAAATTCATGGACATGAATTACAACTGAATAAAGTGTATAATTTAAACCAACAAACAGGTCTTTCTCCTGTACCCCAATCTTCCAGTCTCAGATCCTAGAGGTAACTGTCTTAATATACATAATTCTATTATTCAAATATTTATTGAGCATCTAGCAAATGCCAGACAGTATTCTTGGGACTTAGGATTCAGTAGTGCACGCAAAACACAAAAACCCTAGTTCTTATGATACATACACCCTAGTTAGAGTGGCATATAGTAAAAAAGATCATTCAAATAGTACATTAAATAGTGATAAATGTCAGGGTGAAAAATAGAGCAGAGAATGAGGATAAAAAGAGTTAGACTTGGGGTTGTTAAGATTTTAGAACAGGTGGCGAGGGACGGCTTACAACTGAAGGTGACATCTGAGTAAGACCTAGGGAAAAAGTCTCTCTTTTTGCTAGAGGAGGAGAGAAAGCTACTCATATGGATATTAAACACAGCAAGCAGAAAAATAGCAAGTAAAATGGCCCAATGTGAGCATGTCTCTTACATAGGACAGCCAGTATGTTTTAAACAGAGTGAATGAAAAGGAGAATGAGAGATGAAGTCAGATCATATATGGCTTTATAAGCCATTTTAAGGACTTTCGCTTTTATATGAAGTAAAATGAGAGGCCAAGACAAAATTCTGACCATAAGAGTGACATGATTTTTCTGTTTTTGAAATGTTCTCTCTGGTTGCTATGTTAAGATTATACTTGGGGGGAAGTGTCATAACAGGAAGACCAATTAGATGCTCACTGCAATAACTGAGTTAAGAGATAATGATGGCTTGTATCAAGGTAGGAACATTTGGACCTAATAAGAAGTGATTAGATCTTGATATTTTAAAGGTAGTAATAAGATTTGTTGATGGATCAGATGTAGGGTATGAAACAGAGGGGTTAAGCATGACTCTTGGGTTGTTTTATTTGTTTTGTTTCTGAGTGGCAGAACTGCCTTTGAATGACAGAAGAAAAACTGTATTTGGAAGGATGGGAAACAATGAATTCAGGGCTTTTTCATTATTATTATTATTAGTCATGGTACACAGAGTGTATGCACAAGTTGAGGGATAGTGGCACCCTTGAAAGGGTCTGGTCACACACATCCACTCCCTTCCTTCAGCTTTGTTAGGATCCTGGGCATACATGGCATGTTTCCGATTGACTGGGATGGGGATCTGAACCTATTATCAGCCATGTGGCTTCCCACGCAGTAGTCAAGTAGGTTATGGACTGTGCCACCTAGGTTGGGCCAGGAATTCAGTTTTAAGTTTGATCTGTCCCTTGGACATTGAAGTAGAAACATCAAAAGAGCAGTTGGATAAAGGAATCTGTAATTCAGGAGAAAAGACTAGGCTAGAGATATACAGTAGGAAATCATCAATACACATACTATATTGAAAATTAAAAGACTACATTAACTCACTTCTGGAGTCATTATGACTAGAGAGAAAACAAAAAAAGAAAGAGGCTTAAAGAAAGAGCACTGGTAAGTGTCCTGTCCCGGAAGTCAAAGGAAGAAAGTATTTCAAGGAGAAAGGAGTAACAAACTAACAAATGCTACTAGTAGATCAACTACCCACTGGATCAACCAATGCAGAAGTTTTCAGTTTCCATAGATGGTGGAGGTATAATCCTAAATGAGTTGAGAACAACAGAGAAATGAGAGGAGAGGAATTAGAAAGTGTAATAAATATAGACACTTAATTTGAGAAGTTTTTTTCTAGAAATGAAAGAAAAGGGTACTGAGAGGCAGGAATAGAATAAGAAGAGGGCTTTTAAAGAGTTAAAGAAGTTTGTGTGCTGCTAGGACTTACTCAGTGGAAAAAATAAAACTAATGTTGCAGAACAGAAAATTCCTAAAGTCAATGACTCATGGGGAGGAGAGAAGGGGTGGATCTATCAGTGGTACATAAAGGAAGAGGCTGGCCTTCCCCCAGGAGGATGAACAGTTTGTCTACTGTGTGAAAAGAGATGGGAAGAGTTTGTGGGCACAAATATAGGTGGATACAGTAGTCAAAAGTATCT